CCTTGCACACCTGCACAGACACAAGCTACTCTTTCAGCAAATGTACCTCATTCCTCCTTTCACACACCTCTGACGTTTACTTGGGACTACTATCTTACCATCTCTAGATGACAAATCAATGGAACCATTCATGAACCAAAAATCAGTTCCTGAATCTTAATTCACACTCTTTTGTTTAGACAATGGAAAGAAAGCATCCCCCAGCTATTCAGATTTTCCCATGAGCTGTATTTTTTTAAAATCTCTTATAGTTCTTTAGCAAGAATTTTTTTTTCTCTTCTGTCCACACATTTTGCTCTAAACATTGGAAATAAATGCCCACGACCATTTTCTAAAACCTCAGAAAAGTGAGCAAAGTAGATTTTATTCTTTCTGTTCTTTGTTTCACTCTTTCTCTGGATCACTTTCTCCATCTTCACATTGTTGTCTCCCTCTCAGGCGATCGGAGACCTAAGATTTATGTTTACTATTGATGTTTTATGATTAGGACACTGAAGTTTGGTCACTGAATTACTCCTATCAGTAGGCTCAGAAATCTGCCAGCCACGCACCAAGTCCCCGGGGGACCTCCCACAACCAGGGTGCCGACTGGCGCTGGATCCAGATTTTAACCCTTAAGCACTAGCATCCCCCAGTGGTCCTGTTTATCACTGCAGTTCACCTTTTTTTTTTTTTTTAATTATTTTTTATTTTTTTGAAGCTTTCTGTGTAATCTAACTTTCAATGTAAATGTAAATTCAAGCCAAGTGCTGCAGAACCAGCCAGTACTCAGGAGTCTGCTGGACTCAGCAAAGGGCCATATACATTTGCTCATAGGTAAAGATGAAAAATTTTTATTTCCAGTACAAACACATACCTGTAAGAGCAGAATCTTTTTATAAAACACATTTGAAAAGGGGCAAAAATCAGACCTAAAGAAAATCAGACTCTTTACTGGAAAGCCTTTTTGAAGAAGACAAAATAGGTTCACAGTGTCTTCCAAGACCATTAGGTTCTACAATTATTTTTGGCTTTTTTTTTCACAAGATCATGACTCATGGAAAAGATACTGTAACAACCATCAATTTTTAATCTGCCTTTTGATTGAAGTTCACATACTTAGAAACTATAGTCTATCATATTGAATTAGTATTCTAAACCAAAAGTCACTGGCTGACATTTTGTTCACACGATGAAAATTCAACCATGCTTTCAGAAAATACTCAACAAGAAGGACATTCCAGCCGCTGTTCTTAAACACAGCCCTTTGCAAAGCAATATGAAATTGTGTTGACTGGGATTGTTTTCTCTGTTCCCTCAAAGACCTCAGTCACTGAGGAAAAGTGAACCAATGGGATACTGCAAAACGTCACTGGGAGGAGCGAGAAGAGCAGAAAAATGACACATGTCTACCACAGATATGGGATGCTTTGCACCTACCCAGCTCCCTCCCACTCCAGAAGCAGAACAGCCACCTCAGCACAACCCTGTATCGGTGCTGACTCAACGGAAGGAGGACGGAGTGGGGAAGGATGTGCAAGGCTGCAGGGGGGCGAGACAGAACAGCACTTCTGCACAACACTTCTGTACGGGATGAAAAGAAGGAATTTCCTCTTGTTAATGTTGGAACCCTCCAGTATATCCTAACTCTGCAGCACTGGAGATGAAGCGTTGTTAATTAAAACAGCCCATCTGAAAATCAGTGAGACTTATACATTAGCTTTAATTTCAGCAGAAGATGATGAGCAGTGCAGAAAAGAAACAGACGAACATGTTTGTATCAGAATCTCACCAGACTTGATGCCACAAGAGCCCAGAGAGGTGGCATGGCTTTACCCAGTCCCTTCTGCTTCCTAATCCACTCGGCCCACAGTGTCACTTAGCTACTTCTTTTCCTCCTATAACTCTTGTTGCAACAGCTGAGGACATCTAGCAGAGTTTTATAACGAATACATACTTCCACTCTTTGTCTGTGGTGTAAGCACTGAATACTTGAGACAAGGGAAAAAAAACCCAAACCCAATCCCCAGAACATGTGTGCCTTCTCTGCAATTTAAGGGATAAATGCTGGGGCCCTTCCTCAGAGGTCTGCCCTACTCAGTATCTCTGAATATCAAGGCCAGGCTGGATGAGGCTTTGAGCAACCTGGTCTAGTGGAGGGTGTCCCTGCCCATGGCAGGGGGGTTGGGACTGGATGATCTTTAAGGTCCCTTCCAACCCAAACCATTCTGTGATAATATGATTCTATGAATCCGATCCTTCATGAGCAGCAGTCAGCCCAGAGTGTGAATGTGCTAACTGAGGCACGACAAACCCGTGCAACACCTCTTGCTGATATTCTGTTATTCTGTGGTTAGGGCTCATGAGGATTTTTGAAAGGAAGTTTATTTTTGCAAGCTGCTGAGTGCTGACTATGATGTGGAGCAGCTTTCACTTAGGCAAATGTATTAACTTTTGTTAAGGCTCTTGGACAGATAGACTATTCCTGTGGCATTTACAAGAAAAGCTACGTAGATACATTTGGCTCAGGCTGTTCATGCATGAAAGTACGTGTTGTAGGTTTTAACAAATCATAGACAGTTATGGTTTGGTACAAAAGGAGAAGGCAGCTTTTCATCTTGACAGCCGCCATCTCTCCCCTTCTTTTGGAAGCTCTAAAAATATTTGAGAGGTCCTAAACAATGTTCTTCATGAGTTATCGTCACTACCTAAAACATACAGGTTGGTATTCAGTATGACAAATCAGTTTCATGTAGTTTAACCATCTGTCTTTGCCAGTTGCATGAAGTGGATAATTCTGAAAAAGTCAGTAACCATCATAATGAAAGCATACATTACGTTACACAGCACTGAAAATTAGTCCTGCTGCTAAAGAAATGGAAAATGCACAGTAAACACATTACCTGAAATTAAAATTGTTTTTGACCAAATCTCCAGAGCCTTTAAAGTTGTAACAATTATTTTCTATTTATATGGACTGCTCAGATTCTCAGGTGATTCCCTGTGGAGATCTGTATGAATACTTTTTCCAGAGCTGAGGAAAGGAAAATAGATAACTATAATGGAACTGCAGGAGCAGCCAAGCAGTAGATTGATTCAACAGGAGAAATTCAATGCATCCCAAAAGATTTCCTAGGATTTGCTCTCCTGCTGCTTAGGGCACAATTTGTTGTAATGAGAAACTGTGGATTTCGTTTCAGGTGTGTCAAAGCTTGTAGTGATGACTAGAAGGTATAAAGAAAAAAACAACAACTGAAATCTCTCTTGAATAATGCTTTGGTTGAGGAGAGAACAAGGACAAGCTCTTCAAGGTGCAAAAAAGGTCAAATATCTCATGTAAATAGCACTCCTTAAGGGATACTAATTGAACACAGAGTCAAACCCTTTCCTTCATCTCCAAACTCCTGCATTAAATAGCTTGAAAACAACAGTACACTTCAGTAAGCAAAACGGAGAAAGCTTTATTAAATTATCTGGTAAAATTGCACTTGGTCTCACTGTAATCTCTGTTCTCGGAAGTATCTGTAGAAAATTCCTTTTTTCAATTGTGAAGACCTGAGTTAACAAGTTATAAAATAAAAAATTAGGTGGTTTTATTTTTTTTATTTTTTTTTTTTTTTAAGTTTAATAAGGGAACATTTAAACAGGCAGACTCCTCTGTTCACCCGGAGTGCGCCACACGTAGAAGGCTGGCAGGAAGCATGCACTGCTGCAGTACTACATGAGCCCTGTTTGAAAGGTTAAGTGGGACATGCATGACGTGAATTTCGCTGTGAAGAAATGTAAGAATCTGTAGGCACTCATGCCCTCCTCTACGAGGAGTAATAGTCATTATGAACGCCAAGATTCTCTACAGTTCTGGTGTACCACAGCCTATGCAGATTTCTTGCTAATTACTTTATAGTGAAAGCTCTGAAATGCTGCGTTCTTTCTCAAGTACAACACTGGGTTTTATTCAGAAACAGGCTGCCAGATGAAATCTCCTCAGCCAAAATGCTTAATGCTGATGGCATCCTGGTTTGATTAGGGAAGACACGTAAAATCTTAGATGTTCATATTCACAGCAGCACATGTTGTTCAGCACTGGCATATGCCCCTCACACTTCTCAACATCATGTTATATACTGGAACGTCATATGGTGTAGAAGAACCACAAGAGACAAAACACATGCTCTATAATACACCTTACCCAGAATGAACATTCACGTGTGAATGACATTATAGCTGGACATTCAGCACAGTTTCACACTTAGTTACAAATGATGCAAATACCCAGAGCCCAAAGATTTGAGTCTCAGAGCTTTCAGAACACAGACCAAAGCAGACAGCACCTGTCCTTTCTCCACTAGATGACCAAAGTTGCATTGCAGCTCCAAGCTCCAATCAGTTTCAGGACCCACCACATGAAGGAGGATCCCCTAGAGCATCCTTCCTTATTGATAAAAGGCCATCAGGCTCAGAAACTCTCCCAGCACATAGCATAGGAGCAAGTACTGACCAGGAGAGAGGAACAGCAAGTACTTCACCATCTCAGCCCTTTCCCAAAATAGGGACCAGGGGCTTTTTAATTTCCAGTTAAAAGTGCATTTTGCAAGTTTTTTTTTATTATTATTTCTGTGAAGTTTATGTATAGATTATACAGAGAATATACATTATTTCAGCCAGCTACCTGTCCCTCAAGCTTGACACAGCTCAGCACAAAACACAGACACCCTCACAGCAATGGAGTCTGAACCAGAAAGTTGGCTTCTGATCAGGGATGGGGCAGTATCTGAACACATGAAACAGTGAGGAGCTAATAATCAGCTATTATTATAGTTCCCATTATCATTTTATCTGCTCTCAGCCTGGCAGTTTGGGCAGAATGGGAGTTCTGCCTCATCCATTAACCTGGAAAGCAAGGGAAGATGCACAGCAAGAAATAAAACCAGTAAGAAGCCTCCAGACGAAACACTTTGCTTGTAGTGAGGCAGCCCCCTCTCCCCATCTTTGGAAACAGTTGAAGCAATTACATCTCTTACCTGTATGGTTCCAGTGTCCTGCTGCCATAATACAAAGCTTCTTCCCAGGATTCAAGGTTAATACAGGCATCCATGGCACAGTCAAGCATTTTCAGCTGGTAGATGTTTGTGTCTGGAAGACGATCCATGTTGCTGCTCAAGAGATTCTGGCACCTTTCCAGAACCTGCTCCCACTCTGTTATTAGCCTTAGTTAAAGAAATATCTCTAGTCAAACAAAAACACAAGGTCTAAATGTTGTTAGCAAGGAGTAAGACCTACAGGGCATTAAGATAAAAAAGCTGCCATCATTCCAGACTCTGCTTCAATTCTTGAAAACATACTTGATCTCTAAAGTGGTAGCTTAGGTAACTATGCTTTGTTTACATTTAGCAAAACAATTTCTAAAGGCGGCAGTATGTCAGCAATAAAGGGTAAAAGACAGATGACAAAATGAAAGGATATTTTAATACCTAACAAACTAATTCAAATATTTTTTATTAACTGCTGAAATGTTATTATTTACTTAAGATATTCCTCCAAATCTTGCACCCAAGGGCAAGAACACATGGAAATACGTCTTAACAAAATGTCTCAGCAGCTAAAAAAAGGAATTTAATTTTTTTGTATATTAAAATAATGACACATACTTTTAAGCTGCCCAAGATTTGGTTTAGAGTTCTGATTAAATTAGAACCTTTTCTTGCAATTAATTAATTTTCTTTCTCCTTGAAACAACTGTAAAGAGCATCATGTTTTTTCATGTACAGCTGCATGTTTCACACATGAGAAAGTAAAGCATTGCAGTTCTGATGTCTGACTGCAGTTCAGGATTAAGGATCTTGGCAGTAAAGAAGATTTTTACCTCCAATGCTACAAGAAGATTTCGCGTTTGTAAGAGAGGAAAAGTAAGCTGGGCCTTGCATCCACTTTAGGTGGATACTCCTTACCACAAATCACTTATTTTCATTACATTTGGGCTGACTTCTCTGTGGACCAGATTCTTCTCTCTCTGACCACACCTAAGCTGAATACCAATACTCTCAGGTTTTAAATGAGTACTGTCATCTGGGACTTTATGGGATGCAAGCAGTCTAAACACCAAAAAGATAACATACACACAAGTAAGAACAAATCAAACAATAATTAAAAAAAGACTTATAGTAAGAGAAGTAATAACATTGTTTGTATCACAGTCCTTTCTGTACAACCAGCTCAAGGAATTTCAGCAGTTATCTTAATGACATTACTGAAAATACTATCCACCCCAATGCAGCAATGGATTTAAGTGTACAGTGACAACCCTGTGATGAAGTAATTAGTCCTTCCTGAACATGGGAATATTTACATACTTAAATTTAAGAATGTGACCACTGTGCGGCAGGGCCAGGATTTATAAGATGGTTGTTACAAGGCTAAACTAATTATTCATGAATTGCTCTCATGCCCTTGGATTGAAAGAACCATATAAGGGAAGGAATGTGTTATTATAAAATTGCACCTTAACCTTTATATCTCTGGCAAACATCCATGTATTCTTTACAACTGATTAAGGACAGACAAACAGAAGAATGAGGGATATTATTTCCACTTGATACAATTTTTGTAGGAAGTACAAAGCACTGACATTCTTGAAAGATTACCATTTTAGCTGATGCATAGTATTAGTCCATCTGCTTTTACTTGTCATTATACGGCTTTGTTCACTCACCAGCATCTGATAGCAGATGTGCTATACTGCAAAACCTGTTGGGACCAAACTTGCAGGTACATAAATTGCAAACTAGAAAACACACTGTCAGCTGCAACAGGACAAAAGAGGAGCTGGCTGTCCTGCGTCTGCTCAGCCTAGAGGAGCAGCCCTCAAGCAGCTCTGCTGCTGTTGTGTGGCCTGAGATGCAGAGGAATCCGCTTCTCCACAATAATTCCCTTGCACTGGGCTTTAGCATCTCAATTTGTATGCTTAAACTGGAATTTGGGTCTGAGACAGTTCACTCACACATATTGTTTCGAGTTCTCTAACTGCAGATTTAGCACAAGAACACTGTATCAGTTATAATCAGCTCAGGTTTTGGAAGTCACTGACTTTCTCAACTGTAGAAACTGTCGGTTTACTTTGCTAAAAAAAATTACATTTGCAGAAAGTAAAGACTACATGCTTCAGTCAGCATCCTTGGCAAGAGGGCAAACATCAAGCTCCCTCTTTGGGTACTGTGCTGGCCCCTGCATGCCAATTAGCACTGGTGTTGTGGTGTGATGGAAGGAAAGATGACACATTTCAAACAGCTCATGTCTGAGAACAGGAACAGAACAGACAACAAGGACATATTTTTTCAGCTAGTTCTGAAAAACTACAATGTATTTGATTTTCAAATCTCAGTTAAATCAGTAATCTTAATTAAAGACCCTAGGAAAATTCAGTAGGTGCAATTTCTCCTGCAATCAAATATAGGAACATTAAATAGGAACAGATTCCTGGCTCCATACCTTCAGCATAAAAACTATTGCAGCTGCATGCTGCATCTCTATAATTTAACTTTCAGGTTAAAACATGGGCCCTGAAGTATAACTGAATGCCCGAAGATCTATTTCAATATTGTGTGCCTCAAAGCAGTAACTATAGAGGAACTTAAGACAGACTAGAAACTGTATGAAAATAAAAGTTAAATGAGATGAGTGCTTCCCTTTTGCTAACAAATTAATCTCTCTGGATTAGAAATAAACAAATTCAGGTTTGGGGTTTTGTTTTTGTTTGGGTTTTTTTGTTGTTGTTTTGTTTTGTTTTTGTTAAAATAAAAATTGTGATCACTTGTTTCCAGCCTGGAATGTCACTATGCAAACCTGTTTTTTATGCTGCTGAAAAGCAGCACTGGAAGATTTAATTGTTCCCTAGCTCCAAAGAAAGCCCATGTTTCTGAAAATGGTAAGGAATCTTGCTTCAATAGGCAAAATTAACAGTTAAATTCCAGTGAATAGACTAAGGGATCAATGTACTCGTAGTCTTCTAGTAAAAATCACCTCTCTTCTGCTCATCTGCTGTTCACTAATTTTTTAAATTGGATTGAATATCTACATGATGGCCATTAGAATCCAGTTCTGTTTATTAGTGCAAGATCATCTCATTCAATTTGCTTAATTATCAGTTATCATTATATATTATTATAACTTACTATAATGATTCTATAATGCTTGCAGTGAACCTGACTGTGATAATGTCCTTGTTATTGTCATTGCTGTGCAAAGAATGAGAACTTGGAAATGTTCACAATAAGAATAATGGGACAAAGAATTTAATGTTTCAGATTAAGATTTATTTCATTTAGAAGTGGATTTATATGAAGTGCTGGGCTGTGGTGGAAAAAGTCTAAATCTGAGCCAAAATATTCCTTCGCATCCTAGGTACTTACTCTGCCTGCCATGAAGCAGTTCCAGTCAAAATAAATGGGACTACTATTATTAATACAATTAATAATATTACATATTTTAAATATCAAATGAATTAAAATACATTTTAAAACAACATAAAAATGCAAACCTTTAGGTAATAAGTCTCAAAAGATGAACTGCGTACTAAGGGGCTCTCTGGACTGTTTTCACAACTGAATGACAGACCGTAGCCTGTTACTGAAAGGATACCTTCTTTTGATTTTGGATATCTCACTTCATTTACAGCATCTTTGACTTCTTTCCAGGCATGCTCTTCACCAGCCAGTTTCTCAGCATCCTGGTTAATGGAAACAAAAGCATTTGATGAGAAAAACTGTAAGCTGAGAATATGCAGTAACGATGAAAAACAGGGTAGAAAGATTATACTGACAAATGCTACTTGTGGGGATTGTATCATTTTCTTTTGTAAGTACACAAAAATAATTTCACCTGGCATTCATACTCACCCTGTGTTTGTAAGTAAATGAGATGATATCAAGAAAAATTAATGCAAACTTGGAAACATTAAATACTCAAACCGAGTACTAGGTTTGAAAAAAGAACTGTGATCAACCAGAAAAGAGAAATAATAGCATGTGATTTTTACTATCAAAATGCATTGAGCATATCAAATTCTCTCAAAGACCTGCTACCTAATACTTCACAGATCCTCAACCAACTTTAGAAAGGATTTAGCAAATAATTTTTATTAACCATGTCGTGATTATAGAGAGTTTACAAGCATGAGCTTACAGGAGATGTCTACTACTCAGTAAAAGCTGAACATTATTTTTCTTTTATAACTCATTGTTATTTCTTCACTATTCCATTAGATTCTATAAACAGTTATATTTTCCCATTGCTTTGTCATAAAGAAGGCAAAAATGATTAATGGCTACATCAGTAAGAGAAAGTTTCCTTTTTCAACTATCTAGAAGTGACTAACTGCACCTTAGGCAAACCACTTGGAACAAATTTATTAAAGCATCTACCGACAGAGTTAAACATCTTGTGGGATTTCAAAAGCATCTAGAGATTCAATTTCCATTGCTATAAGCACTTACATACCTTTAAAAATCGGGCCTTTAAGACACTGCAGTTCATTATCTCTCTTTATAAAAGGCCTTGCTACTTGCAAAAGATTTTTGTCAGTGCAAATTCTTACAGGAATATTTTAAATACAGTTCTAAAAAAATCAGCCTTCAGCCAGGGGTGGAGGCCTGGCGATGAACAGAGAAAGTGCGTGAAAATCTAACCAAGCACTTTGTAATCAACAGATGCTCACTGGGTATCACAGGAGTACCTCTGTTAAAAAGCCTGTAATCCGCACCTGTCTAGAACTGTGTAATTTTCTTATTCCACTGCTCCTTATTTACCATAAATTCAGAACACAAAATATTTACAGTGAGAATCAGCACTCACTTTCACATTTCATTTGCAGTTTTCTCTTTCCATCTGCTCCATGAAACAACAGACCTCTGTGTGTTCCTGGGATGACTAAATCAAGATTGGTCCCCGCTGCCCCACCACTCTGTAGGGCAGCCTGACCCCACTGCATTTTGCACATGTACTTCCCCTCCAATCAATTTTCTGATCAAAAAGATCACCTGGAAATAACTTTGGGAGTAGCTGACTTTGCCACCAGAAGGCATAAAGTGAATGTTAGGACAAACAAGCTTATACTGCAGAAATTTATCCGTACAGTTAATGTACACACCCAGCTTCTCATAGCTTTGTGATAGACTTGCACTGAATCTGTTATCTTCAGTGTAACCTCTACCAGCTTTTAGGGGAGTACATCCATTTCTGATCGCAGCCTGTTAACCTCTAACAATCTGTCTCCAAGGCATCTTTGTAGGTCAAGCATCGCTCACTGATTGATCTAAAAAATAAATGTGGCCTATAAGATACTAATAATGATGCCTGTGAAATTTTAGTCTTAAGCAGCTACTGGAAAAGAAAAATTCTTTTAAGCTACCTTTTCCCACTGGCCCAAGTATTTCTGTAACATCCTGTAAGCTTTACAAGGAAAACCTCAGAATCATGGTAATTGGGACAGTTTTATAAGTGAAAGAAAAAAAACCCAACTATACACCAAGTTACAATGACTGATGCATCATTAGGGCTCACTTTGCACACAGTGGGACTGACGGATGAACCAGGTTAAAGAGTTCATTGACATGGGATTAGTCTTTCTCTTTCTTGTGCAGTCTTTTGAGTTGTTTTCCACTGTCTTCTAGTGTTTCATTGACAACACAAAGCAATGCAAGGTTGGGGTTTCCTCTAACCTTTACACTAGTGCATAGGGTTAAGCCTACTCTGGCTTCATATCCAGGTAGAGAATAGGGAGCATCTGTTGGACCAATAATCTCCCAGCCCTCTCTGGATTCATGGTCTTTATCCCTTTTGTAAGAGACTTTAGGATGGAGGGAGCTGGGCAGGATGCCCAGCTCTGGAAAGGATTTAAGTGACAGGTTTCAATGAAATGTTTTCTGTGTTCTCAAGATGAGGCAATTTGGGGATTTGCTGACGTAAGAACAAGCAAAGACCTGGCCAGCTGAGTCTTTGACACCTCTGCTGTTCTTCATCGGATTTCCATACACCAAGGAAGTCCTGTCCTTCCCTAAACACTCTAATTCAAGGCATGGAGGCTGCTTCCAAACAGGCAGCCAAGCAGGGGCTGCAAAAAAAAACCAGGAGGCCTTGTCATTGAGAACACTTCTGCCTTCCAGCCTTATAAGCTTTTTCCAAGTAAGTTGTTTCCCTTGGACAATGCCTTGAAAGTCACGGCCATGTGATACGACTAAGCCAGCTACAAATACAAAGCTGCCTTGGAGTTGGAATTATGGAAATAATTGAAGTGATTAATAGTTACACCGAACTGTTTAATTTAATCTAAGAGCATGGCAGTGACAGCTATGGGAGATTTAGCTTTCCACAGAGTAACACCCATTCAAAGCATCTCTTTTCACAACATGTTCCCAGTCAAACCTCCAGGTGTGCAGAGCTGCCAGCAATAAAGGAAGACAGGCTTTTTTCATCTGTAGAAAAGAATAACCCTAGCTGAAGAAAAGGAAGAGGCTTCTGAAAGAAGGAAGAGTTATCAACTTGCCTAATTATTTTCTTTATTTCTAATATTGTCACTAAACATAAGAGTTTGTTCTTCAGAACAATGCAACATTTGTGTCTTGGTCTAAAAAAAACCCCAACAAACCAGAGTAGATAACTTAGTTACAAAAATGCATGACAACCGTATTATGGCTGAAACTGGCATGCTTTACAATTCAGCTTTTACACACAGAGGCATGCTGGAGAAAACTGAGAGTAGAAGTGTTGAGAGCTCATGGGGAGAGCAGAAAAGACAGCTGCAACATACACTTCTCCATAGCGAGAACACAACCTCGCAATACTCTTAATAACACAGGTACAATCCATTGGAGACAGAAGCGTCACTGAATGTGCCAGCTGAACCCACAATCTGGGGCACAAGGAAAGACAGAGCTGATCTTGTGACCTATTTTGGGCAATTATTCCAGCTGGAAGATGGTTCCAGCACCTGCTTTCCACTTCCTCCAAGCATGTGCAGGGGAAACTTGTTCAATAAAAGGTGAGTCAAGATGTCAAGATGCAACAGCAATGTTTCAATTCCATCTCTCTATTCTTGTAACAACAAGACAGGTGCTGCTACAGCTTTTGTGATAAAACAGACCTGGAGATTCGTCACCTTAACACTGAAGCTTTCTGGAAATCTCCATGGACTACCTTTCCCTTGGACTACCTATCCCTGACTGCTTAGACCTGTGCTTCTAATCCTTTAGATGGAACAATTTACAGGTATATTCAGTTCTTCTAGTAAAACAAGTTATAAGATGAACTCTTCACACCTGAAACCTCTCAAAGAAGGACAATGTGTACCTTCACGTCTTAAAATGTTTAGGGTACATAAAACACAAAGGGTCATCTACATAATTCAACCAGACAAAATTCTGCCCTTGAAATCTATTTGGCTCTTCAAAATGGACAAATGCAAAGTACTCTGTAAAGCAAAATCTTCCTGCCATAATGAACTATCTTTCCTCCCCTAAATTTCACAATAATGTCACTGCATAAAGGATTAAAAACATATTAATTTTTTAAAAATATTTGCTTGAACATCATAATTTCTATAGCTTGCAGATCAGAACAACATTAGTTTTACTTTCAGAATACTTCCAGCTTTTATATCCAGTTATTCTCCAGACTTTTAAATTTGTAGATACTCATTGCAATCTATGTTTCAGGAGCCTGAGAACAGACATGATCAGCTCTTCCCAGCTCATCCTGTAAATACTCACAAAAATAGTCTGTGGTACACAATACACCACTAAATGTCAATATTTGCTTTAAATGTTACACAGTTTTCCACAGTTTAGGTTCCATTAGTGACACTTGTAAAAATGAAGCTATAACCACTAATAATAAAGCTATAAAGAGAGAGAAAGTAGAAAACCAGAGGGTATCTGATGAGGATTATAATCTGTTTGCATAGTGATCAAATGTGAAAAGTTCTGCAGTTCTGGCTGTAAGTGATAGGAAGATTTACTATAAAAGCACCATCTCCTGAAACACAGACATCAGCCACCAGAGAAATAAGCATTTGAAAATGTTCACCTGTTCCATTCCCTCCTTCCTGTGCTCCCATGTTTGGAAGAATTATTTCTCTCCCTATCTCTCCTGCTATCCTATCCTTAACTGAATTCTCCTTAGAAAATAACCTTCAAAGTGCAGAAGATACCTGTTGCTTTACACCACTCCTCTTTTCCTGACTACTCTTGTGTTTCTTACACTTCCTAAAGGTGCTCCCTACCTGTTCATTTCAAGGGCCACTGCTTTTACATGCAACGTTAGCAGCCTTTGCTATCCCAACATTTAAAACTCTGAATGTTAAAAGATTCCCACATGGACAGCACATTCTCTGACAGAAGATATTTCTCTTACCAAAAGAAGCATATGCCAACCAGTCAGGGTGATTGCCCCTCTGCCCAAACGCACCCCCAGAGCCCCAGCATTGCTCACCTGTAATGAACTGGGCCCCCCAACATTTCCTGAGTATTGAAAAAGCTGATTAGCATCTAGACCTCCTTTCATACTTAGGCTACAGGACAGAAATAGGACATGGATATTCTGTCCTCTCTATAAAGTTCATCTTTCTCCTCACAGATGGAGGTAGAGAAACAAGCCAGAGCTCTGCAGTGGAGAGGAACCATGAAGCACTCCCCACCTCCCTCCACAGAAGGGAGAAGTGGGGACAGGAAACTC